ATCACTCCGGTGGGAGGAAAAATGCTGGCGGCGCCTTGCAAAAAAGGAGTCGGGAGCAGTTGCCGGTAAGCACGAAAAACCGTGCGCGCCTGAAAAGGGCGCGAAGCAATGGAAACCCCGGCTCCTGCGCTCGCCAGCTGGGCTCTGCTCTAGGAAGGAGGCTCTGGCAAACCACTTCCGAAACAATTGCCTTGAAAACTGCAAGGACTCGTCCAAGCAGTCACTGCAGAGTCAGTAACGAAACAATTGCCTTGAAAACTGCAAGGACTCGTCCAAGCAGTCACTGCAGAGTCAGTAACGACTGAGCGCAGATAAAAAAAAACAAAAACCCCTTAGCCAATCTCAAAGAGCAAAATGAAGGTGATAGGCAGAAGACAAGCCATGCTTCCTTAAATTCTGGTTTACTGAATACATTGTAACTGGCTAGGTACACACAACATGCTAAGCCATAAACCATGGCTTACCAACTACAAAGATTCAGAGAGCATATGGACCCAAAGATGGACCCCCCTTTGTTGGCCATCTTCCTGCTCTCTGCTCTCTCACTTGTCTGGGACCATAAGGAATGTGGTCAGTTATGGCCTGAGGTCACTGGAGGGGGTGAAGCTGAAATCTGAGTCTGCTTTTTCTCTTTGGGAAGAAGGTTAAGGATTTTAAGGAGCAAACCCTCACTTAAGCCCCCTAAACCCATGGATGTTATTTAGACAGTTTGTTCAAACTGTTGATCGATAGACAGACAGACAGAGAGACAGGTCTATAAATATTTGATGCCCAGTTTAGAATTTCATATTCTTACATGGGTGAGGGCCAAACAAAAGCCAATTTTGATGTAATTAAAGGAAAACATAACTGAACTTTATTACTGTTAATGCAGTTACTCCCCACATTTCATCGTCTTCCTCTTGCTCCATTAAAAATTACAAATTAAAAATCTGTGTTCTCCTTAAAATATATTGTTACAAAAATATGCATATACCCACTTACATACCCATATATTACACACACGCATTTCCAATTCCTTTTTTTTTATTGCCTGTTTTTTTTCTTCCCTTTACAATTCTCTTTTTGATCTTCAATGCCTTGTTAATGTTCCATTTATCACAGAAGAAAATAGAAACGGTTACAACTTTGCATCAACTTTTGGAGAATCTCCAGGGCCAGGAGGGGGGTTTGCATCCAGGCCTGGGTTAGGGTTTCCTCTACGCATGTCTGGAGCCAACCCACACCTCCTTCAGGCCTAATTCAAATTTCCTTTTACTGGCTGAACAGCTGAGAATTCCTGTCTACCCTGATATCATTCCAAAGGGGTTCAGGGTTTCTTCTACTACTAAGAAATCTCTTGAACTCTACCCTATTTAGGCTGTAGTACATCTTCGTGCTCAGCTCACCCTCTGTTAAATTAGTGAGTCACATATTCCAATCCTTTCCAAATATTTGGGGAGAGGGGAGGGAGAACATAACTGCCCATGCTCTACCCCTTGCAAGGAAAGCACCTGTTTCTTATGTTACGACACAGTCCCGCCCGTGGCATTCCAACACCTCTTACTTTTTACTCTTAACCTTCCGCTCACGTCGGGCTTTTGCTTCGTAATAGGACTGCAAGGCCCGAGCTCTCTGCAGCTCCATGCGGCGCAGCTTAGCCTGGAAGACATGGAAGCAGAGGACAGCTGGCTGGATGCACTGATGGGTCACAGTAAAGTCAAGCATGACAGGGCGGGCAAGGTGAAGAATGGAATGGGACCAGCTGGGCCATGATTTACCTCCTCCAGGCTCATGGCCTTCAATGAGATTTTTTCCTGTGGGGTCAGAAGCGGATCCTTCACTGGCTGCTGAGTTTTGTGGAGGAGGCTGAAGATCTCTTGCTCCAAGGGGGTCCGTGCCTGCCGAGTGGGCATGTAGAACATAAACCACATAAGTTCAGGCTAGATTTAAGAGAGGATGATGAAACCAGCAAGGTGGCTGCTATTGCTGGAAGGCAGACTACAGAATGTGGGGGGAACATCCTTGTGGCTTAAAGTTAGGTTAAAGGAGGATCAGGATGTACTTGACTGAAGAAGAGCATCTGATTCCCAACTGTTATCCCTTAAATTGACTGAAATGAAGAAACCTGGAGATAATCAAAACACCATCTTTCTATACATTAAATACCAAGGACGTATTTTTCATCCACTGATACTTGAAATTCCAGTGCCATATCGGGGGGTATATAACACAGTGCCAGACCAGTCTTCCATCTTGGCACAGACTGGCTTAGCTTCAGCAAGATTACATCATGCAGTCAACAAAAGGGGTGAAGCATTTAATTTTCAACCAACAGCTAGACCCTGCTCACTGTATACATGGAGTCACCCACTACATTAAACCATAATGTAGTTGGTTTAATTTTGACTCGTAAAGCATGGTTCATGACTTCATATGTCAAGGACCATTTGCCCTTCCCTCTGTCCCACAAACACTGCATGAAAGCGGGTCCTGTGATTAAGTTGGTCAATGTATACAAGAGAAGGTCTTGGGTTGAAAAACAGACAAGAAAGGCAGTTAAAGAGCAGAAGGTGGAATGGACCCAATAATTGAGCAGAAATGGACACCTGCTGATTCCACTTTTTCTGCTGCATTTCCAATCTTCAAAATGCCATAAAATTTTCAATAAGTTTTAAAAAATGAACAATAGAGTTACAGTCTTAAATATTACCATTCTAGTCAATGTTCATTCAAATCAGGACAGAGAAGAAATTTTCTTCTCTGCGGTAGTGGTTGTTCAATATAGTCCCCATGCTACATGTGCCGTATTTTTGGCAATATTGTTAATCACATGCAAAAGTTAATGGATCAATAGGAATTAAGATGGCATTAAAATACAATTGCCACATAATGTTGACAGCATTTTCTCTCACAACAAATGTCTTAAGTGTCTCTACTTTTCCTATCTCACAGTGAAGAACTGAGTCAAACTAAGTGAGCCACCCCATGCAATGAATACACACAGAGATCAGGCCAGAAGTTAGAACTGAAATGTCCAGTTACTCAATATGTAAGCTATAAGGTGGCATATTTGTTTATGGATTAGTGTGATGTGGAAATCCAGCCAAGTGTCATTTACTATGCCTTATGCATTACGCTGTCGTGTGAGCCCAACAATAATTTATTGAATAAACTATGGCCAAGCAAATCATGAAAGCTGGTTTGGAATAGTGGTAAAATACTCTGGGATAAAAGCCAGGAGATCGGGAGTTCTAGTCCTGCCTTAGGCACAAAGCCAGGTGGGTGACTTTGGGTCAGTCACTCTCTCTCAGCCCTAGGAAGGAGGCAAGGGCAAGCCACTTCCAAAAATGTTGTCAAGAAAACTGCAGGGACTTCTCCAGGTAGTTGCCAGGAGTCAAGACTGACTTGAAGGAAAAGAAAGAAAGACAGACAGACAGAACCACAAATCACAGCTCAACACATTGTGTGAACACAGCCAACTTCTCTAATTTGCTGGACCATGGGCTAGGAAGAGCACGGTAAATGGTCAACACAGCAGAGCCTGTATCGCAGGAGAGCACTACACCACTGCAGCTAGCCCAGGCCAACTTCAGTTATCACAGAGACCAAATAACACTGACCTGCCAGCCCGACATCACCTCCTCGATCGGCACAATGGTCATGCTCTCCTGTTGCAGCGGGAAGACCAGCTGCTCAGCGCGTCGATTCTTTTTCACTACTGGGTCCCACTTGTTCAGAGCTTCGGCTGTCTGAGTGTACGCTGCTTCCCTTACCACCTGCAGACAAACAGGACAACCATGAGCCCCATTGGTCAAAACATCCCATTAAGGAGGCACCAGAATTGTCAAGCACAAATTATGGAAACCCAATCCTGGTGGCACTTTACAGATACCACAGTGGTAAGGCTAGTCACAATTCAGTGCAGATATTAGTCCAAAAATTGCTTTTTAGAGAGCAACAAGAGGCTAGAATCTGTTTAAATGTGATAACTTCTACAGTACAGAAAAATATCTCTTTAGAACTCTGACATTCCCTACCCGAACATACAGATGAAGCCTTCATGCAGAATGCAAATTCCTACCAATACCAGATACTACCACTAATAATACTCCCCAATCCTTCCTTCTGAACTTACCCGTTCAGTCTCTTCCTTACTAAGTGGGATTTCAGTTGCTTTTTTCTGCTGGGCTTTTTTCAGCTGTTTCTGAATGGGGCGTAGAGCTGGTGAGGCAGAAACCGGTTGCAGCAGCTCCGAGAGCTGAACTTTATCACCTGCAGTAGACAATGACATTCCTGAGGCTGGAACAGAGGGAATGTCGAGTTCCATAATGTTATTCTATGCATACCTGGCCCGCGTGGTTGGGTTATGGCTCAATGTGTTGGAAACCCAAAAAAATAGTTTCAACCGAGCATACAGGGGTTAAATTAACTATGGATAAAGGTGTTGTATTGGACAGCCAAAAAACAAACCAATGGATCATCAAAACAAATCACCCAGAGTGCTCACTCAAGGCACAAATGACCAAGCTCAAATTGTCCTACTTGGGACACATTAGGCAAAGATCTAGCTCTCTGGAGAAGGCTCTACTGCTGGGAAAAGTGGAAGGAAAGAGAAGAAGAGGACCACCAGCAGCAAGGTGGATGGACTCAGTTACAGCGGTCATGGGTGCAACGTTGGAAGAACTGAAGGACCAGGTTGGGGGCAGACCATCATGGAGAAAAATCTATCTACGTGGTTGCTAAGAGGTGAACATGACTTGATGGCACATAATGAATCAAAAGATGTTGTATGGACATAGCCAGTGACAGGCCAAAAATCTCACCTCCACCACCCACATCGAATTCTGAAATCTGCGCGCTGGCCTCAGTACGTTCAACCGCTCGTCGTCTGCAGGAATGATAGTAACCAACTTGTTAGTGGAAAAGGATTGCACGATAACCTTTGAGGATCTCAGTCTCCCTCACCAGGGACCTTCTCTCTTACCGCTTCCCACCGACCAAGGCAGTGAGGGCATCCACCAGTTGTCGGTGCTTCTTGGCTGCCCCTTCCTGGTCCACCTGGGGAACAAAAGACCCCCAGTGAGCGAGACCTCATAAATCCAGATGAAAGCAACCAGTTGTGGAAAATTATCCCCGCATCAACGGTCTACCTGAAGGAAAAAAGGACCTGCTAGGAAAGCAAAGGGACTCCTACGTGGTTCTGAATCCAGCAGGCTACTGTAGATCCAAAACGGGAACGGAAAAGAGGCAGAGGAAGGAGAAGGGGGGGTCACAATATGCCAGTAGAGGGTTTCAGAGTATTTAAAACCGTTATAAGGAGGCACCATGCTAACTTTTGTGTAACAGGGCGTCTTTTTCACAGTCGCAGAGTCTTCCCAATCGACACGCGCGCTAAGTATAGGAAAAGGCAGCCCTCTGCCGCCGGTCGTGGAAATGCACCCCTGCTACGCATCTGACCCCGTGCAGAGAATGGTCGGGTAAATCAAACTTCGGCCGCACATCGAGGATTAGGAGAGAGTCGGGGGAGATTATCAAGAAGACCCCGGGACCCTCTTCGGGGGCTCACCTCTTCCACCTCGTCCTCCTCGCTCAGGGCCAGCTCCCTCCCGCAGGGATCTTCCTCTTCGACAGCCGCCATGCGGAGACAGCCGCCGAGACGTCCCGCTTCCAGCCACTCACGCGAGCGATCGACTCTCCCGCTCGTCCGAACGGGCTACGTAACACGTGCAAGAGCCCCCGCGGTCGTAAAGCACTCCGGCAGTTCCGCCTTTGAAGCCAGACGTTTGCGGCAGTTCCGCCCTTCTTCCCCTCTTCGTCCCTGTAACTACAGTACAGGGGACGCTCTTGCCCTGTGCGGGTGTGCCCTACGAGTATTTACCTATGCTAATGATTTAAAAACCATGCAAACTGGCAACGACCCACGCCGCGTGTTTGGAAAGGAAGCTGGTAACGTCGGGAGGCAAACAAGACTCGACCCACCCGCTTCCCCAGCATTGTTCAGGCGCAGGGCGAGGTCTCTGGCAATTTAACCGGGTGGGCTGACCGCTGACCGCGCCTCCCTCTGGAATCTGGGCCACCGTGGGGGCGCGGCTTACCAGATCCAATGAGCTGCAGGAATTCAACGTTTCCCCGCCCACCCGTTTCGATTAATTGACGTAAGAAAACCTGACAGCTCCGTTTCAGGTCTCGCCCGCTAGCCCCGCCCACCAGACGGGTCGGCCCCCCGCTCTTTCCAAATGACGGGCCACATGACCAATAAAAACCTGCATTCGGGCCAAGCGGGCGGTTCTGAGTCCCGATAGAACACCAGGCGCTGCCTGCGGGGACGAAGGCCACCTCTTTATCCCGCCACCGTTTTCGTAAGAAACCGCCTTCTGGGTCTTTAGGAGAGTCCTCCGAGTGGGGCGACCCCTGTTTCTTCCCTCCCCCAGAATCCGACCGAGGGGGAAAGAAACCAGCCGAAGAAAACCAGCCTCGCCCTCTTTCCTTCCCCCGCCCGGCGCATCCCTTTACTGTGAGTGAGGGGCAGCTTGGCCAATCGCGGCGCCCATTTGAGCCAGAAGGCGGCGCGGAGGCGCGGCTCGGCCAATAAGAAGCGAGCTTCTCTCCCCCTCAGAGCCGCG